TTTAACATCCCAATTGTTTCTATTAAATGAAGACTTTTGTGAGTCTACTGGTTTTTCTCCTGAGAGTCAGGGCCTTCTCGACAAAGATTCTTTGATAATAGTAACTGACCTTCATCAAAAGATGTTTCTGACATGTCAAAACATATCTCAACTTCTCCTATCCCAGATTATAAATAAGCCATTTGTATTCCCCCCCACAAAAGTGTAAAATGTGGCTCTGAGGCACTATCAAAACACTGCTGTTTGTTTATGAATCCCGACCACCCTGACATAGCAACAGTGGCTCAACCAATAGCGTGATTTGGGGGGGGGGCGTGGCTTTCTGTTTGTTTGACCAATGACAGGCAGGGTAAGTGTTTCGGAAACCTGTTTGCAAAGAGTCATTATTTCAGTGAAGAAAGGTAAGTGAATAAATCTTTTTACTATCTATCTAGAAACATTAAATATTTCTGCACAGTTTCAAAATTAAATAAGAAAGCATTCTCAGATGATTCTCTGACAACTGAATAGGGCCTCAATGTGTTTGTAGTCTGTGTTCATTAGTGAAGCGTGGCTCTCAGATGGGAATGTCTTGTAGCTATTCTCCACAGAGCACAGGACGGCCTGTTATTACCAGAATGCCCAGAGAGAGAGCAACCGAGACAGAGAGAAAGAACTGGATGAGAGCGGTGGAAAACACACAGCAATCTCACTTTGGGGAATTGTTTGTCTTCGGCTGTCACTTTCTCTAATCTTACAGAAGACAGAGAAACTGTACTTGACAGTCTGAGAAAGTCAAGAGCATGTACCACATTTCAGTACCGCGTTATCGCTTTGCACCATCAATCTGATAAATGCTCTGAGGAGAGAATTATCACTTGACAACTTGATTTCAGCAAAAAATGACACGTTGGCACATTGAGTCATGGTGCTCAAGCAGGAGATGTAGGTTTAAATCCTCCTCTAGCCAATATTGGTGCATTCAAGTCAAGTTGGAAAGATCGCATTTACGAGTTGAGTGCACATGAATGTCACCACAAAGTCGTGATTACAAGTGTGAAAATCTGAACTTTCATTAAGTTTCTGAATTGGGTGTCAGTGAGAAAATATGGTGGAAACAATAGCTACAGCATCTGTACTGATGGTATCCTGATGCACATTCTTTATTCATGATTTTGTAGAAGTAGAGTTGAAAAATCTTGCTGAATTATTAGAAAACGTACATAGTCATTTTGCTCCTACCACAGTTACTTGAACTCATCTGATGCTGTAACTTCCCAGGAGGACTTGAATGCACCATATTTCCATCTTGTCCACTGGGTCTATGCAATAGCGTGGCAAAAATAAATCTGACTTAACTCTGAGGTCTCATTCTCCATGTCAAGTATGGCCTCACAGGTTTCCAGGAGAAAAACAAACCACATGCAACTTCTCCAACCTGTAGGTGAGAGTAAATTCACCTGACTATCAACGTGGTCGCTATGAAAAACAGCCAACGAGCTCTGACAGATGGTAACAAGCACAAAGGCAGCAGTTTGGTGAGTAAGTGGCCTTTTCAAACCCTTCCCACACAGACAGCCATGCTCTACATGCGTTTTGACAGCAACCGACGAGCACAACTGTTCAAGACACACTGTAAACTACCTGATAGACAGGCTCCAGCGCATTCGGTCAGTTCTCATCTTTGGATATTTCAAAAATCGCATGTTATACGAAATCTACTACTGTAAATAATTGTTGTTGACGACCAAAAAAAAAAAAAAACTCAACTCAACTACTGTAAACAAAGAGCAGTTTCTATGCTTTTATTAGTAATTGGCCAATACACAATTTTTTTTTTTATATATTGATGTCAACAGTAATGGATATCAATCCATTGGTATTGGTACCAATCCATTACTCCACAAGTAATCCACGCAACTCCAGTTCATCAGTCAACATCTGAAGAGAAAAGCTGCATGTTCATAAGAAACAAATCCATCATTTAGGCATTTTAACTTTAAACCTTTGCTTCTGGCCAAAATACGTGTCCATTATCCATAACGCTTCCTCCAGTGAAAAATTCTCTCACATCAAAATCCACTGATATATTGGTTTAAAACTGTTTTGGACTGTTTTCACTTGTAAACAGTGCTCGATCTGTGCATATTTCTCTCCTGATTCAGACAAGATTACTTTTTCACTGGAGAAAGCAATATTATGGACAGAGGAATCATTAAGACGCTGAAGTTAAAACACATTAATGACGGATTTGTTTCTTGCAAACACAGCTTTTCGATTTACAAGATATTACTTGATGTACTGGATTCATGTGGATTACTGTAATGTTTTTATCAGCTGCTTGGACTCTCATTCTGACGTCACCCATTCACTAAAAAAGATCCATTGATGAGCAAGTGATGTAATGCTACATTTCTCCAAATCTGTTCCGATGAAGAAACAAACTCATCAACACATCTTGGATGGCCTAAGGTTGAGTACATCTTTTAACAAATTTTCCTTTTTGAGTGAATTATTCCTTTACTGTACATGCTAATGTCCCCTATTATTACATTTAGATTAGCATTCTTCTAATGCTCACTTAAAGTCAGGATTTAATGCAAATAGATCAAATCTTTTCCAGACAAGATTTTTTCATCTGTATTTGTGACGTACATTTGAGTGAAATAGATTACTGAAGAAGAAAAATTCAGGACGGGGACTTGGTTCTGTTCCGACAGTTGTTGATTGGATGGAAACAGATCTGAGTGCAAGCTTGCAGTCAATTGACCCTTCGCAGGGAGTTTGATTGACAGGCGATCTGACCAATCATAATGCCGAATCTGCCATTTTGTCCGACAAACAAACCAGATTAGCATTGGTGGACCTGAACTTGAAAAATGGTGTGTACTGATGTCTTTCCGTGGTTGAAACAAGATACCTTCTTATGTTCATTTTTATTTTGTGCTATAACTAGTAAAAGGAAGAGATGATCGATTCACATGCCTCGTGAACTGAGGCTACAGCGATCTGTCATGACATTCATTTTTAAATTTATTGTCAACATTTGAAAGCTGAGACTTTGTTTCATACCAAATATAACCTGGTCTGTCTTGTCTGTTGGCATGTTGTCAGTGTCCTCTTTGCTCCGCAATGTATTTTTCCCTGCGTGAGAACATGATGTGTGGCATGAGAGCGCCGTGGCTTGTCGGACATAACAACAGTAACGAAAGGGGGCAGGACTTTGCGAATGGTCAATTGTAAAAAAAAAAAAAAAAGAGTCGGAGTTTCAGCAGACTAAATGGCTGGAGAAGTCTGGCACGCGTCACCAGAGAGAAGTCTGTCATTTCACCGGAAGATTTTGATCAGGAATTACGAGGTCAAAAGATGGCCTTGTAGTTACAAAAAAAGTTAGTTTTTATATTTTTTAAATAAAACGTATACATAGACAAATCATTCGCAATGTACACACTATGCATTATGCATGCATTTACAAAATATAAAGGGTAAATTTTCATTTCATGCTAAGATTCCTGTTTCTGGCAAGGCCATAGAAAAATGAATCCAATATTGGCTTCTTTTTGCTATCTCCTGGAGGGTGAAAGGAATTATGGGAGTGAGTAAAATATGAGTGGATACTAGCAACAAGATGCTGAATGAGCTGATTGCACCAAAGAATAAAACCCTAAAGATTGTTTTGGCAGTGACAGAGAATGTAGCGTGTAGTATGTTATTGAAGTGGTAACATGCAAAAATGAGTTCTGCACACATGACAATGAATTATGCAAAAAGAGCTGCTGAGATTGTTATAAACATGAATGATTCAAATCTATGTCTTGCTCTCTCTCTAAACTGAGTCTTTGGAGTGACAGGATATTTTTAAAGATACGTTCCTAGATCACCGGTTTCAAAGAGCTCACAATGACACTTTTATACCTTGTTGTGACATGCAGCTATTTGAACAGTGAAAGCTTGCTATGGGCAATAAACCTTTAAGCTTTCACAAATCTTTAAGTATTTGTCAGTGTATACCAAGTATAGCTGTGTTCCAAAACCTAGTGAGCTTGTCTTGCCATCTACTGCCTACATAGACACAGGGGCGGACTTTACCATTAGGCAAAGGTAGGTAATTGCCTTGGGCCCCGAGCTACCTAGGGGCCCCAAAAAAATCCTGTATTAATATTTGGTTGAGTTTTTTTTTGTTTTTTTTTACTTTATTGCAAATTTCAAAAATTTCGCTGAAACTGCATCAGAACGCTTAAATCATTAGTATTGCAAACAGGTGCGCGGGCGCCCCCCAACACCACCACCATTGGACCATTCCATTATTTCACTTCACTGTGCGTCTGCAGAACTGCGGAAGTAATTGACAGACAGCGTGTACAGAGTCAGAGCTAAAATGAAGCGAAGCTACCCAAGCTGTGCTGAAAAAAGGAGGAAACGGGAGGAAAGCAAAAGGTTTTTAGCAAAACTACAAAAGGTAACAAACTTTTTTGTGACACCAGCTGGCGACGCTAAAGCTAAAGAGCAGAAAAAAACTGATGTCAATATAGAATCTGTGATTGCAAGATTTACTCGCAAGGCCAGATTTTAGCAACTACATCTAAACTGAGCATCCCAGTCATTCGCAATATAGCCTCATGGCGTATCATGTACTATATAATATGATACATTTTAAAATTAAGTCCATAAAAAGATTCATCTCTGTTCTGAGTACTTTAGATGCAACAATAAACCAGAAGCTCAAGATTCTGCTTACACACAACAATATCTTTACTTGTCACACAATTTCTGAAAGCTGACACTCAAGCACCAGAACCACACACCAAATCTGCAAAACCATACACTAATTCTTTTCAATTTCATAAAACACTTTTTGCAAAACACAGCACACAATTCTCTAACGTAACACACAAAAATCTAACAGGAATTAATAATATTTGTGATATTTTAAATGCAGTGCTTCATTTTGCAAGAGATGTGAGGCATTTTGCATTTTGTGTGTGCAATTTTTGGATTTGTGTGTAAAGTTTTGAAAAGTTAAAAAAAAAGTGTGTGTAAGAAGATGAAAAAAAACTGTAGTGAGAGAAACTTAATGTACATAAAAGTACATTCAAGAGAGAGGAAGAGACAGGCAGACAAAGAAAAATAGAAAAGGGAGAACATGAGAAAGACCAACATATAAAAGACAAGGGAGATGAAGAGAAGTTCAGATACAGAAAAAGGAGAGCAAGAGGAAGTCAGAGAAAAAAGGTAAACATTTTAAACAGTATATTATTTTGCTTTTGTGTGTCCATAGTTGATCATTTATTCTTATGGCTTGTGTGTTTTTTCTCACTTTAGTAACATAAGATAGAAGACCATAAACAACTTTTCCAATTTAGGCAGCAGCAAGCAGATCCAGTTAGGAGATCAGAGAACCTGCTGGGAAACCAAGGTAAATGACAACCAATGACAGCTCTTCCATGTAAATAGACAATAAATATCATTGCACAGGTAACATTATGAAAATAAGATTTTACAGTGGACATATTTGTTAAACAGTTGTGCTGTTTTTTTCTTCTTCTTTCAGATAGAACTCCAGATGACTAGACATCATTGCTTTGTGAAGACTGCTGAAGAGAAATTACAAGTAAAGCCGGGCTCACGCTGTGCGATTTTTTTAAAAGTCCTTTAGGATTAGTACGAACATGATGATCATTTTTTTAAAAGTCCTTTAGGATTAGTACGAACATGATGATCATGTCACACTGTGGGATCTCAGTTGTCATTAATGTCAGACTGTACGACAGTCAAGACGCGTTAAAAATGGGTGCGTGCAAGAAAACTTGACCGGAGTTTTACCTTATCAACTCATACACGTTCAGTGACTGGGCTGTAATGTTATTTATTCGTTCAGTGACTGGGCTATCATTTAAAGTATATGAATGGTGGCAATACCAGCGTATTTATGCAGAATAGTGCCAGCAGCACTACACACCCACATAAAAACTGCAGCGCAACCGGTGTTTATCATAGCAAAGGCAATGAATCATATGAATTTGTGAGCGGAGGACGAGAGCGCCGAAGTTTATGCAGTTAGAAGAACTCTCCAGCATTAATTCTGATCATGGCTTGTCTTGAAAAACGAAGACAGTTTGACGTTCGTCGTAGGAGATGTCGCACTGCAGGACTGTGTGCCAAATCTTCTGACACTGCCAGAAGTTCGTCGGAGGTAAAATTTGATCGCAACGGTCATTAATCGGCTGTCGGTGAACATGTCAAACTAACGATCAAAGATTACAGATTTTAGCCTAGGATTATAGGAATCTTTTAGGTTTTTCAAAATTTGTCTCAGACGACCAAATCGTGGCCAAAATCGCACAGTGTGAGCCGGGCTTAAGTCTTTCTTAGATTAATAAGGATTGACAAAAGGGAGGAACAAAAGATGTAGAGGGATGTCTGTGTTTGCCTTGGGCCCCAAAATGGCTAAATCCGCCCCTGCATAGACAGCATCCTAACTAGACGGAATCTTAACAGTAACTGATTTGAAATGTTCTACAGATAGCAACACAAATATTTCAATAAAGTTTTATATTACTAAGAAAACAGCATGCTACTCTACATGTAGCTAAATAACACACACATACACACACAAACTCTGGGTGAAATAGTCACAGTTTAAAATTAGACTTAACTATTTTAACAATAACAGCATTCATTATTGTTAAACATAGAAGACTCAATTCGCAACTGATTCCAATAGAGTTTGACATTAGCAGGTTGCTATAATAACAAGGTGTTAAAGTTGCTATTTTAAAGACATTTTTTATCATCTCTAAAATGTATTTCCAAAATGCATGTTAATAAACGACTTATCCATGCACGTTTAATTTTTGACCTTATAACTTTTTAATTCAAACACAAAATCATGACACATTTCTAGTGAAAATGAAAGACTTCTCTCTAATGATGACATATGCAGGATTTCTCCAAACGTTTCACATTCATAAACCCGCCCCTTTCTTACTATTGACTGCAAGCTCACATTCAGATCTGCCTCCATCCAATCAGCAATTGATGAATAGAATCCTTTTTAGAATCCTTTTTCTTCAATACTGTTTCACTCATAGCAAGAGTATACAAGACTCGATTTTACAATTGATGCAAATATTTGTTAAAATAGCAACTTCAAAATTTGACAGATGAGTTTGACTATTAGCATGTTGCTAAGAGTAGGGACACACCAAGCTGATGCCAAAGAACTAGCACTGAGGAAAGCAGACTGTGGCGCCGCCTCGTGTTGCCTTGCATTGCCTTGACAGTTGATGGCATCCAACTAGAGCCAACGGTGTGGAACACACAGAAAAAAACTAAAGCCGACCGATGCATTTGGTGTGCATTTGGCTTTAGATAACAGTGTGATAAATACACACAATGTTTGTGCAATATGAATTATACTGCTAACTTTAGTGATCATTTTTGGTATTGACTGCAAATTATTTACATCAACATTTCTTTCAACTTCTGGTTGAATTTTTCCTTAGTCTGCTGCAATCCATTCTGGGATGGCTGTCTGTGAAGGACACATGTAGCGCTGCCTTACGATTCGGCCAAAAGGTATCTTAGATGGCCGCATAATGTTGCTGCCAACCTTTTGAACAGCTTTTACATCCCACAATGCCTTAAAATTATTGCTACGTTTGGGAACAGAGCTTATGTGTGCACTGAAAGTCTCATTTAATTCCCACCAACGTCTCACAGATCTAGCAGCTGACTAGGCCTCTTCTAGCTTTATCTGTCAATCTTATCTCTTTCTCGGAGTGGCAGCGTGCCTGTTGACCAGGGCACAGTAGGCGCCCAGTCAGCATGTGACAAAAGCAAGAGCCTCATTTGTATGCCGAATGCGCTGCCATCATAAATCTGAGCTGAGAAGCACGGGAACGGGATGCGCCGATCCCGGACTACATCGCTAAATAGTTTGACCAAGATCAGTTTTTGGGTGGATGTTTAAATTACGCTAAATTCTTCAACCATTGGAAGAGATGTGACACGGTGCTGATGTGCAGGAACAAGAAATAACAAGAAAAGTATTACGTGCTGGTGACATTAGCTTTCACTTTACTTATTAAATGTTCTGAACATTATGGTGTAATTATAAACCAATATGGACTTGTCAAGCTGTCTGTTCCCAGCTGTTGCCTGCAGATTCCACATGGTGGTTTTCATCACGAGCCGATCAACATCCAAATTCAGCAGGGATGCAGAGATGACATTATGTGAGATGATTATGTGATTTCAAGTTTAAAAGGAACATTCATTGACTTTCAAAACATCTTGTTTTTGTTAAAAAGTTTTTATGAAGAAAATGTTTAAAAGAAAGTCACAGGTTTGGAATGACATGAGCGTGACTAAATGATGAAATAATTTATATTTTGGGTGAACTATTCCTGTAAACTGACATTTATTTCTCACGCAACACTATTTGAATAATAGGAGCTGATGTGGAGAAATCTACAGATGACTCACCAATGGATCCTCTGCAGTGAATGGGTGCCGTCAGAATGAGAGTCCAAACAGCTGATAAAAACATCACAATAATCTACAAGTTAACCACACGACTCCAGTCTATCAATTAACGTCTTGTAAAGTGTGAAACTGTGTGTTTGTAATAAACAAATCCATCATTAAAGGCAGAGTAAGTGATTTTTCAAAAACGCTTTAAAAACAGATTCGGGCCGAATCGCAAAACAAACTTGTAGCCAATCAGCAATAAGGGGCGTGTCTACTCATGATGTGGAGGAGAGCGCGTTCAGTGCATGGGACGGACATTAGCCGAGCCGAGCGACAGAAAGATAGAGATGGCGGATAAAAAACAAAAGAGGAAAACGTCTGCGGAACGATAAGGCAAGAAGTAGGACCCCTGTAAATATCGGATCAGCTTTCCAGCGATGGAGAGAACTCAAGGAGCGGAGGCCTGCGATCGGACGCCGAGGTTGCTTTGTTTCTTCTCAATAGGTGAGTAACACCGGGTCTACAACAGCTAAAGTCTGCCTACACCGGACGCGATCAAACGACCGTTGAAAACCATTTGAAATGTGTGTCAGCACGTCATAAATAGAACCCGGCAGCAGTTTTCTGTCGGGATTTGTTGCGCCGCGCCGCTCACGTCAGTAGACACGGTGTAACATTGGTTTTGCTTTGTTTCACAGAACTAATCGTTGCCTGGGTTGCGTACGTATATATGGGGCGGAGCTATCAAAATAGGGGCAAGACCCTTTTGGGGTAGAGGCGTGTTTGTTTTGGTGATTTCAAATATAAACATTGGCTACCAGAAATCCCTTACTCTGCCTTTAAGTTGTTTTAATCAAAAATCCATAATCCATAATAACGCTTCCTTCAGAGAAAAAGTCCATCCCCTGTTCTCCTCTCGCATCAAAATCCACCAACATATTTGTTTAGAGCTGTTTTGAACTGTTTTTGGTTGTAAACAGTGCTTGATCTGGGCACATTTCTCCCCTGATTCAGACGAGATGACTTTTCCACTGGAGAAAGCAATATTATGGATAGAGGACTCATATTTTAGCTGGATGTGACAGTTTGAAGTTAAAACGTCTTATGATGGATTTGTTTCTTACAAACATGCAGCTTTTCACAATATGTTAATTGATGGACTGGAGTCGTTTGGATTACTTGTGGATTATTGTGATGTTTTTATCAGCTGTTTGGACTCTCATTCTGACGGCACCCATTCACTGCAGAGGATCCATTGGTGAGCAAGTGACAAACAAACTCATCTATATCTTGCATGGCCTAAGGGTGAGTAAATTTTCAGCAAATTTTCATATTTAGATTGACTTATTCATTTAATTCAGAAAACTTGGGATACTGCACACAAATCATATGGACTATATAAATGATACTTTTATTGCACTTTTGGGTCCTTTTTAAGCTTAAACACTACCCATTTACTATAAATGCAGGGACAAAAAAGACCTTAAAATATTCTTCCTTTGAGTCCCACAACAGAAAAAAAACAAGTCATACGCCTGAGTAAATAATTACAAAATGTTCAATTTTAGCGATCTTCTCTTAGTCCCATTAATAGCCCCATTTCCTTCCATCAGCTTTGGTTAAAGAGGAAAAGCCAGGTGTGGGAAGATGATCATCAGACACATTCTTGTTTGAAATGCCATTGCATTTAATGATACATTAACTGTAAATAGCAGATGGTTCATTAAGCTGAATTTGCAACCAAAAGGGCTGAGAGGCCAAGATTATGGTGCGCGCCTGTGTGTAAATGTGTATGCATGCATTTATGTGTGTGTGTGTGTGTGTGCCATCCCGGCTGGACTCCATCCATATTTCATGACTGATAAAGGTTTCGGTAGCTGTGTACACTTTCCAAAGAGTAGAACTGTAATATGCAGCCATTTTGCCATATTCCACTGCAATATACTCCAGATGTGTCTTGTGGCTAATGCAAAAAAAGAAAATCATTTTTTGTAATTTTCCATAATATCACTCTGCAATTTAAGCACAGAAAAACAGAGGCTATGTTTCTTGTCCCACCTTCCCTGCCCCCTTGAACTTTTCTTCTTTGCTCTGACCTTCTCTCCTTCTAAGTGAAGAAATGACCAAATGTCATCCTGTTTATTTGAGTAGGGCTGTAGTGAACGAGATCACAGGAGACCTGAAGCCCATGTGAACTCCACTGTACTGCTGGACTCCTCACTCCGTCCATCTCTACCCGCCAGCCAATGAGAGATGAGCAGATTCCAGACTGTTCATCTGCCAAAAATCAACTTTCAAACTGTCAGCTACTGTCACAACAAACTTACAAAAAAATACATAAAAAGTAGCGGGAAAAAAGCAAATAAAAATAACATCACTGAGGTTATCATTTGACACAACTTGCCCTGAAAATTTTATGGCACTTAATACAAGCACTATTTTAAATTATTTAGTGCAAATGTATTATTTATTATTTATTTATTAATATTAATTTATCAATATGTACAAAAAGGGTCTGTGTGTGTGTGTAAAGAAAAAAGACAGACAGAGAAGTAGATAGATAGATAGACAGATAGATAGATAGATAGATTAATATATTGATAAATAGATAGATATACAAATAAATATGTAAAAATGTAAACATTTAAATATGTAAACAAAAATGTAATTATATAAATAAATAAATACAAATTTAACCTAAGTAAGTTACGTAATTGGTTGCTGTAGATGTAATAATAGATAGAATAGATAATGAATATGCCATTTCTCAAATAAAACAGTATTGTTTCGGTTTTAGACGTAAAAGCATTTGTTCAGTAAATGAATTACAGTGTCTGTATGAAGGAACACAAAAGATCAGCCATTACTGCGGCTATTTCTTCTTATTGCTGCATATAAATGCTATTCAAGATGACCATTCAAATTAATGAAGGAAAACAACATAAATAATTCCAGTAAGAAAAAATAAAAATTAAAAATAAAAATTCATTATTCTGTCACTTGCCTTCAAGGCTTTAAATCAGCGGAAAATTATATGACATTTTATCTGCCATCAGATTGTAGATGTCACGGCTCATTATCGCACCTGCAGCGATCCAACTTGCGTTTTATTAACGATGCGGCAATATAATGTAAATATATTACTTACCAACGCCATATTTTTCTAGTTCAGTCGGTATCCACATTTTTTCCGCGTCAAGTAAAAGAAACTGTGCTATAAAACAGGGCAATTACGGCGGATACTATCCATATTGTTGTTAAACAGGGTTGCACTGTATTGTTCTGAGGGTAGAGCCACAGCAGCATCCCACATACACCACACTTCTCAGCCCTGAATAAAAACACCATTGCCTCAGTGTGTGTGTGTGTGTGTGTGTGTGTGTGTGTGTGTGTAAAGAAAAAAGACAGACAGAGAAGTAGATAGATAGATAGATTAATATATTGATAAATAGATAGATATACAAATAAATATGTAAAAATGTAAACATTTAAATATGTAAACAAAAATGTAATTATATAAATAAATAAATACAAATTTAACCTAAGTTGAATACGTAATTGGTTGCTGTAGATGTAATAATAGATAGAATAGATAATGAATATGCCATTTCTCAAATAAAACAGTATTGTTTCGGTTTTAGACGTAAAAGCATTTGTTCAGTAAATGAATTACAGTGTCTGTATGAAGGAACACAAAAGATCAGCCATTACTGCGGCTATTTCTTCTTATTGCTGCATATAAATGCTATTCAAGATGACCATTCAAATTAATGAAGGAAAACAACATAAATAATTCCAGTAAGAAAAAATAAAAATTAAAAATAAAAATTCATTATTCTGTCACTTGCCTTCAAGGCTTTAAATCAGCGGAAAATTATATGACATTTTATCTGCCATCAGATTGTAGATGTCACGGCTCATTATCGCACCTGCAGCGATCCAACTTGCGTTTTATTAACGATGCGGCAATATAATGTAAATATATTACTTACCAACGCCATATTTTTCTAGTTCAGTCGGTATCCACATTTTTTCCGCGTCAAGTAAAAGAAACTGTGCTATAAAACAGGGCAATTACGGCGGATACTATCCATATTGTTGTTAAACAGGGTTGCACTGTATTGTTCTGAGGGTAGAGCCACAGCAGCATCCCACATACACCACACTTCTCAGCCCTGAATAAAAACACCATTGCCTCATGGGAGATGTAGGAAATGAATGAGAAAAATTGGATGGAGAACTACAACACCCATTAACCGCATACACAGCGGTGATTTAACTCTGATTGGTCAATGCGTCATTCACCAGGTCACGTGATTTGGGGGAAAAAAAACATGGCCGCTCTGATGCACAACACTAATTTGACAGGTTGGTTAACCAAATTATTAATATTGGCTGATATGTTAACAAAATATTGCTTTATTTCTGTTTACGTGAAATGCGTGAACTATGGCAACTAGCTATTGCAGAGTTAAAGCTACTGCTAATTATAACAGCACGTCTGCACTGTAATGCAAGTTTGTCATCTACTTTTCATGGCATATGTACATAATGCGGGTTTTTTTCCCTTTTTGGATAAGGACACTGAAACCTGTATGTCTCCCTGCCCTGCAAAGCTGTTTTTTAGCTGGTCTAACTGGTCTTCCAGTTGGAAAGCAGCCAAAAACACATTAAAACCAGGAACAGACTAGCCTAACAAGGCCAGCTAAAACCAGCAGACCTTATTAGACTAGTTTAAACTGTTTTTACCAGCAAGGCGTGGGTGGTTAAAGTGCAAAGTTTGTTGATATGGATCTTCTAATAGATGATCAGCGACCCAATAATTTGTCACTGCAAAAGCTAATTTTGAAGAGACAAAACAACTCATAAAGTGCACTTACTGTAGGAGCACAAATGTATCAGGTTTTTAGAGGATAACCTGCTGTCTTGAGTCACACGGTCATTTTGTGTGAATCAGCTGCTTGTTTGTGTGAATGTTGCAAGGACATCTTGCAAGGTCGTGGGATGTACGAGACAAGGGTTTCTCACTAGCTGGAGTCCTTCAGAATGAATTAATGACCCAGAATGGATAT